TGGGACTCTGTGGCCGACTAAAGTAATAAATTGTAACACTTCCCGATGAATATGTATATCTGCGGCTAATAAAGCTATGTATTGTCCTGAGCCGGGCCTGCGCATTAGTCAGAGTTAATGCCACATAAAACAGGTGCCAGGTTAAAGTAATGCCTGCTTCTTCATGCTATACAGGTGTTAAGGACTCTTCATTCCCGAATTTGGGTGATGGGTGGACTTTTCCAGACGCGATTCCTTAGATTAACACTGCGTGTTAATGCCAGCGAATGGACTTGGGGCTGGCAGGGGTTAAATCCGGGAAGAGGGGCTTTTCTTTGGGGTGGAGGTTGACTGCGAAGCTCAGAAGCCATCCCCAGCCCACCCTAGACTGCCAGCTTCCCTCTGTCCCTGCTTACCAGGTAGTAAAGTGATTTTGTGTGGACGGATGTGTAATAAATTAGTAGTAGTAGTAGTTCAATTTACTCATCAAATTATTAGTAGTAGTTTACTCATTAAATTGTATTGCATGTTATATTCTTATATACTTATATAGTATTGCATGTTATATTCTTATATGCATATATATATTATTATAATCAATGTTCTGTTAAGGTTGGGAGACTGTAAATTGCAGAATGGTTCGTTAATCTGTCAGCATTGTAAGCTGATAGTCATGCAATTTGCAGTTCTTAAACCGGAAATACAAATTATTGTGCCTTGCTGAGTACATATTTTGTATCTTATTTTTCTAAAAAGCTTATTGTCTCATAACACACGCATAAAGTAACAAAGTGAAGGACAAAGATCAAAGAGTCAAGAACGAGAACGATACAGAGAATCCAAGATGGACATCACCTACACACTAAACTATACACTAGGCCTCAAGAACTAAAGACTAATTAAAACTGTGGAAAGAAAAGCACCTAGCAACTGAAATGGGCCTGCAGGGAAGCCAATCAGAACCAGACCTGCAAACTCGGATCCAATAGAAGGATAACAAGTGACTATGGGAGGGGAACTGATAAGGGAATAAAAGTTACTGGTTTTGCTTACTGCGCTGGCATGCCCTGAGTGGAGCAGGGGCCTCCCCGGCCACCCAGTGTGCTGTTTTGCTTATTTGCATTTTATATAAATCTTCAATAAATTTTTATTGCTATATTTCAGCCTAGTTTCATTTTACTTATAACAGATGGACTTGTGTCTGGCCAGACCTGGACCTCTGGCCATGTCCTGGTGGTCTCAGCCTTGGGGAGCATCCCTGTGCCGAGAGGGCGCCCATAACTCTGTGAGGATGGATCTCCCTGTAATTGGGGCTCCTCTTTAACAGGGGATCCCTTAATGGAGTCACTTCCTAATGGGGACTGCCTGCATCACAGAAATTCGGGAATAAAACTCCTTAACACTGACGTAGCACTAAGAAGCAGGTATTACTTTATTACGATGCTGGACTATGGCCCCGGATGCTAATGGGGATATGCATATCTGGCTCACATTTACTAACCCGGGACTACGGATTCAGCATAAAAGTGTTACGTATGAAGTTGTTCGCCCCGGTTCTGTAAACCGGGCAACACGTTTCTGAACAACTTGTTACTAAGGCAGCCACAGAACCACTAAACTGGATTGGGCCACATTGCCTTGTTCCCAAGCTGTCAATCTTCCACTAACTGTTACTTCTGCATAATTTTCCACGCCTGCACTGAGGGAGGTCCGCTCTTAGTGAGGGTAATGTAGTGTCTCTAATGGAGACTACACGCAACGGGGATTGCCCGTAAAGGGCGAGGAGGGGGGCTTAGTGGTGGTTTTCCTTAATTGGGGGTCCCCTTAATGGGACGGTACTTCCTTATGGGGACTAACTGAAGTGAGGATCCCCTTAATTGGGGCTCCTTTAATTGGGGCGCCATACAACGGGGGCTCCCCTTGATGAGGCTCCCCCGCAGCGTGCGCTCCCCATGCGGCTCCTCCTCCACAACGGGGGGGTTTGCTGGAACGGGAATTCTACCGTACGGGGGCTCCCCGCTGTGAGTGTCCCCCGTAGCGTGGGGGGATGTCCCCGTCCCGAGGGTCCCCGCTCCGAGCGCACGGGCTCACCGCACGTGTTCCTGGGCTGTCCCCTCCCGTCCCGTCCCGTCCCCTTCCCTCCTCCGGCCGGCCCACACGCACACCCAGCCCTCCTCCTCCTCCTCCTCCTCCTTCTCCTCCTCCTCCTCCCACTTCCTCCGCACAGCGCGGGCTGCCGGCCGAGCGTTCCCCTCCGTCCTCGCCGAGCCCCGCTGCGACCCCGCAGCGATGCTGCGGGGGAGGCACCGCGCCGCAGCCGCAGGTGAGTGAGGGGCCTCAGGGATGCGCGTCCCGCAGGAGCCAGGATAGAGCGGAGGGATGTTGGGGGGGACAGGAAGGCGGGGGGACCCCCAGCCAGCTCCCCGCCTGCTTTGGCGCTCCCTCGGCGGGTGAAGCCCTCGGACAGGGTGGGCCCCCCAAACCCCCCCACTTCATCGCACGGCTTCTTCGGGGTCGTCTGCTTCTCGCTGAGCCGTGCAGGGAAAAGCGGGTTGCAGGCTCCGTATCCCGGGATTTTTACCCATTTATGGACACTTTGGATCATGCGGCTGATGCGCAGCGTGAGTGCGCTTAGCTTCCTGCGAGAGGCTTTATTTTGGGGGTCGCCGGAGCGTTGCTCACACGAAAGCGGTGGCCGTGGGTGTGTGAAGGGGACAGGAGGACGCACACAGCCACCTCTGCCCCCCCTCCCCCCGCCACATCCGTACCTCGTGTCCTGGCGGGAGTCTGGGAGCACCGGGACGCCCCAGCCTTGACCGTGGCCAACCTGGGACGTGACATCGTTGGTTCGGAATGGGATCGATGCGTTTTGGAGGTGTTTTAATCCCCTAAATAGGAGGAGCCCTTCTGGTGGGTACTCAATGCTTCGTGAAGTTTGTTTTGTTTTTTGTTTTTTTGTTTTTTTTTTAAATATATATAAAAGAGAATATTCCTGGGGGTTTTCAACTTAATTCTCATACAAGCCATGGCTTGGTGCATGCATTCCATAAGGGTACTGCCTTAAGAAACAGCTGGTTTGGTCCAAGGGAAGGCTCTGGCTCGGCATTTGCCCACCTGGGAGAAGCTCAGGAGCCGCAAACTTTGTGGAAGAAGGACAAGGTGTGGAACGAGGCAGCTGGGACCGCTGAGGCCTCTTGTTTGTCTCCCCGAATGATCAAAGCGGGGGGGAAGCGCTGCCGGTGATCTCATCCAAACCCGCAGGAGAGATGGGAAAGGTGGAGAGATGGGAAAAGTAACCTCCTCGCCAGGGTCCCAGAGTCCCCGCGATTGTGAAACCGGGATTGCAGCCGGCCGGGAATGCGCCCCGTTACCGGTGGAGAAGTCCGCTGGTTGAGGGGGGATCCCGGGAAAGTCTGCCCCCGCCAGCGACCCTCGTGGGTGGCTCGGTGGGGCTGCGGATGCTTCATGCCAGCGGGTTTCGGAGCTTTTGGGGTTTATTTCTCGATGCCTGCGGGCTGGCTTGGGAGCTGGCGGCTTTTTTTCTTGGCATCACGTGGCGATGGAGGAGGCGGGAGGCTGCGGTGAGAGGCTCCCACTTAGGACATCGCATCCTGGGCAGGAAATTCCGGGGAGCCGTGTGCGCTGCGCCTGACCGCCCCTCTGATAACAGACGCGGACACGCTGTTGGGAGCTGTCGGAGAAAAAAAAAAGAGATGTCTACAGTGTTCCCAACAGCCTTGGCAGGCCGAGGAGCCTGGGGGAGGCGGCACAGAAGCCCTCCTGTGCCCGCTGGACACTCGAAACGTGGCAGATAAAGTTTTCTGAGGCCCGTGGGAGCTTATCAGGGAGGTTTGGCTTCTCGGGCGGCACGTGGTCCTCTGCGTTTGGTTTTACTTTTACTCCCTCCTGACTGAACGGTCTGTTCTGGGAAAAAAACACCAAGAGGAAGGGAGAAAAAAAAAAAATCAAAACCATAGATGAATAACGGTGTGTGTTTAATCCACCCCCTGCTTTTCCCAGCTGTGGGGTTTCAGAATTGCTGACTGCATTTGTTGGGGTTCCCTCAGGCATCCCCCCAGCCCTGATTCCTGCTTATCCCTCTCCTCCTCCAGCTCCAGCAGCTGAAAGGGGATAGTCCCAGAGGGAAAAAGCTGATGGTGGCAACAAAACTGTTTTCTTGGGATGGTGCAGATGTAGGGATGGCACCCCCTCAGCGAAGCCCCAGTGGATTTCATGGAAGGAGTGAGCCCATGAGGGCTCTTACCCTGATGAGGTTAATGAGCTTTACCCTGTCAGACATCGGAGAATCCCAGTGCCTGGATCCAGCCACTGGGCATCTCTCCAGCAAGGCTGGAAGTTGGATCTGGGTGAAACAGGGCAATTGCATCATGCCCAGGGGCATCACCTGGGTGAAGGCAGGTCTGGCATCACAATGTCCCCACGCAGAGGGGGTAGGAGCTGTAGATCCCTGGGGTTTTGGGGAAAGGGGTTAAAAACAGTGGGGAAACGTCAGGAGTCACAAGATCCCGGGTTCCTGTCCCGGCTTGTCCAACCTGAGCATTGTCACAGCTGGGAAGGGATCCCGTGCCTGCATCTCTCTCCCACGCAGCATCTCCTAGGGGGATGGATTTAAACAACAGCCTCCTGAGAGATCCTTCTTGGAAGGAAAATAACCCAGTTTGGGATTTTCCCCAAGGTTTTTTTCAATTTGAAGGGAGCTGTGTTCTCTGGATCTTAGTGCTGGCAAATTTAGAAATGACCCTGAGGATTTATCATGAGGATAAAGCTGTTGGAAATGATGTGGGGGAGCTGCTGCTGAGGGTGCAAGTGGGAAAGGAAGCACTGATCCTCTGATGGGGATTTTTCAGAGGATTCCAAGGAAGGAGCATCCTCACTGGAAAGTGAGAAATTGTCCAAGTTTGGATAAGAAACCCAGCGGAAAGGATCAGCAGAGAATGCAGCCTCAGTCGTGCTGTTTTGGGCTGAGGAGAGACAGATCATCCCCTGCTACCTTCCAGGCACAGCTGCAGCACCCCCACCAGTATCCCCACCACTGGATCCCTTATCTCCCCCCACAAGTCTTCTCATTATCTGCTCCCTTTCCGCTGCTGTGGATGTGGCTTTTATCTTATCTCCATGTGCTTTTCCTCCATTTCCTTGTTGGCTTCTCTGCTGTCACAAAAGGAAAAAAAAAATAACATGGAGGAGATCCTGCTGCAGGGAATCTGTCTCTGGGCTTGGGGATGCTAGGCCATGCTGGGAAATACTGGGGGATGTTTGCCCCTGTTTGGAGGGCGCTGTGCCAGTGATGCTCAGGTGGGTCTTGGGGCTTGCTTGGGTGATTTACAGGATGTTCAGGTGATGCTGGGGGGGTTACTGAGTGCAGGTCCTGTGATGCCCTCGGTACTCTAGTGATGCTCAGGTGTCTCAGTGGGATGCTTAGGAGATGCTGGGCAGTGCTGGGGAGATGCTGGGTGATGTCAGGAGAAACTGGGAGAATACTTGGAATGCTCCAGGATGCAGGACCACGGTGGGACAGCCAGCCAGCTCCACCTGCTGGCATTCACCACCTGTCACTGCGGACCAGTACCCGCCACACAGCAGCCCCAAATCAGAAGACATCCTAAGGGAGAGGATGAACTGCTGCCTTGGGGAGGAAACCTCAAATTACTTTAAAAGGTGAAACTGGGGGTGGGAATTTTGGGCACTCTTGTGTTTGTGTCTGCTGGCTCTTCACCTGAGCTGACCCAGCTTTGCTCCCCACTGCCTGCAGCAGACACTCACTGAGGCTTTGGAACCAAAGCAGTCAGAGCTTTCCAGGGCTTTTCCAAGGAGACAGATGGAGAAATGCCCAGCCAGCCTCCCAGGATTCCCCCCACTGGCTGTGGACTCCCACCCTGGCTTACACAGGGCTTCCTGACCGGATCCTGCACTTCCACCCTGACAATCAAATGCTGCATCTCAGTTGGGGTAGGGTGGGTTTTTTTAGGATTTCTGCCAGGTGCTGGGAGGATGGGAGAAGGGAAGCAATACCTGTTGCCCTTGGCAGAGGCTGGCTGTGAGACAAGCAGGGTTTTCCACACCTCCCCTCCTCTGCTTTAGTTTTCCAGTGTGATCCTGAGTATCACAAATGGGATGCCTGTGAAAACCAGTGTTCTTTCTCCAGCCAGCATGGAGGCAAAGGTGACTTTTGGAGGGCTCCTGAAGGACTCTGTCACCCTGTGCCACCACAGGGTGCTGGCCATGGGGATTTGACTTGCTCATGTCTTATTCTCTCTCTTGTTCAGGAAGGCCAGCTCACCTCTCCTGTCAGGACACCAGCAGCAAGGTATAAATGGCCTCAAAACGGTGCTTGGAGTCTGTGGACCCCGTGATTTTCAACAAGCGACCTTGGCTGGAGACGGAGCCCGCCACCAGTTTTCCATCCAGCAAAATCCAAAGCAAATCCAGCCCTGTGCCCAGCCCTGGCTCCGAGAACCATTTCAACTACAAGGGCTCCTACTTTGCCTGCCCACTGCAGAGCTCCAAGGATCCCGAGCAGCCCCTGGCCGGCTGGAGCCCAGCACCCACCTACCTACACTACAGCCCTGGTGCCATGAGCCAGCCAGTGCCCGACAGGGCGTCTCTGGTGGGCTTCCTGCTGTACCCATCGGAGAGCCTGGGCGCCAGGCTGCAGGACCTGGGTGCCCAGAAGGGCAAGGACAGCCTGATGCAGGAGCAGCTGATGGCTAGGAAGAAGTTGGACATCCCAAGGTGCCCCTTACCGGTGAAGAAGCCGGTGGCCGTGAACAAGGCGGCCCCACTGGCGGTCCCCACGCCGGTGTATGGAGCCCCTGCCTGCTTCCTGGCCCCCAGGATGGTTCTGCCGCTGGGAACACGAGTGGAGAGCCTGCAGCAGGCACCAAGGGAGGCAAACTGGGCTCTGCCCCCTGCCATCCACCCTCTCCAGCTTGGCGAGCCCCACAAGAGGGCTCCCTGCCCTGACCCCAGCATCCCACCGCTGCCCTCCAGCCTGGTACTGCCTGCCAAGGAGCAGCTGGGCTCCCCCGTTGCCTTATCCCACTACTATGTCACCTTTGATAAATACAGGCCCCCCCCAAGCACCCTGGTCTTGGAGGCAAGCTGTCCCAGTGCCCACAGCCAGAAGAAAGTGCCAGAGGTCCCCAGCCTCATCCCAGATTCCTGTCCCAAGCTCCAGCTGCCTGATGCTGGCCTGACAAACCAGGAGAGGCCAGCAATGTGCTACCCACCCCCACCCTACCCACTGTCTCCTCACAGAGCTGCTCCCCTCTATCACCCTCCCACTCCCGGGGAGGCCAGTGCCCTGCCCAGCTCCAATTTTGTGGAAAACAGGAAGCCCTTTTCTGGCTCTTACCTCAAACCCCAAGCCCCAGGGAGCTACTTTCCTGGCCCCTTGGACACCCACGTGCCAAGGACAGCGGGTGCTGGTCCCTCCAAGCCGGTGGTGGTGCTGAGGGATGCTGAGCTGCCAAGGGATGTTGAGCTGCCTGGGTACCCTGGTTTTACCTTCAACTCTGGCGATGAATCCGTGTTCCACACCTCCTTGGAGCCAGGATGTGAGCAGCACGAGGCAGAAGGTTCACGGTGGCGAGCGGCATCAAGGCACAGCAGCGCTTTCCAACCTGTTTGCACCCCAGAGAAGCTTTCCAGGGGCTCCAGTGGGCTCACGGAGACATTTCCCAAAAGAGAAGGGAGCTGGGAGAAAACCAGGCAAGGAGAGCAGGAGCCCCCTTCCCTGGGGAGGAGGAACACCAGCCCAGCCTCTCAGGACACCCCATGTAGGGCACCAGTGGCTCCTGTCATCAAAGGGCAAGGAAATGACTGCAAGGTCAAGGATCCAGCCAAGGAGCTTGCCCCGCCTTCTGCATCCGTGACCCCCACAAAGGGGCTGGAAGACCTGAGGGACACCAAGGTTTTTTCTTCCTCTCCACCGATGCCAGTGATCCACAATGTCTTCAGCCTGGCACCTTACCAGGACTACCTGGAGAAGAACAACGGCTCAGCCCCTGTCCTCTTCTGCAGGGACCATCTGTGGGGGGACCCCCCACCTCAAAACGTGAGCCACAGCCAGGAGGCAGCTTCCCTCAGAGATACCTCGGGGGTGTCCAGCCCGAGTTCGGACAGCGGTGTGGTGCAGAGCCAAGGGGAGAGTTGTTACAAGGGGGCCCCCAAAAACCCAAAGCCTGTGTCCCCAGAACTGGAGTCTCAGGAGGGCAGCCCCGATGGGGTGGGCACTGGGGAGCTGCTCAGCGAGGATACGGTGCTGGACCTCAGCTTGAGGAAGAGACCAGTGGAAACCATGGAGACCCAGGGACTCATCAGCTGTGTGGAGAGGACACTGGACCAGGAGGATGTGGAGAAGGAAGAGAAAAAGGCTACAGGGGGAAAGGTGGGAGAGGGGGCCCAGCCCCAGCTGCTTGAGGTGGGCTCTGGGGACAGGAGCAACTTCCAGAGCTCAGCCACCTTCATGTTCAAAAAATACAAGCTCGTGCACTCCCTCACGCCCAGCACAGAGCCCCCCGTGTTCAAAAAGTACAAGCTCCTGCACTCCCTCACGCCCGGCACAGAGCCCCCCCAGCAGGATGGCAGCCCCCACGCCCCCCAGCCCAGCCCACCCAGCAGCACCCCCACGCCGAACCCACCAACCTCTTCACCATCCAGCAGCCCCCCAGTCCCACCACCTGCTCCCCAGCCCAGCACCATCTCAGGCCCAAACCCTCCGCAGCCTCCACTTCCCGAAGCCCCTTTCACCCCAGGGGAGGAGGGGATCTCACTGGCCAGGAAGTTTGGCAGTCCCCCACCAGAGACCCCCCCGGGGCAGTACTTTACCACCCTGCACACCTGGCTCTGCGACACGATTTCGGGATCAGTGTCACGGTCGTCCCCAGAGCTCCTGCAGCAGTGGCTGAAGAAGGCGGAGCTGGCAGAAGAGCTGGGAGAGGTGCCCAAATCTCTGCCCAAGCCCAAGAACGGCTCCAAGGTTCCTGCTCCTCAGAAGCCCCCCAAAGGCAAGGAGATCTGGCTGGCTTTCCAGGACGTGGCCACGCTCCTCGCCAACCTGCTCTCCCAGCTGGAGACCTTCATGTTCTCCTGCCCTTTCCCCCACGTTGTCCGGGCAGGAGCCATCTTCATCCCCATCCACGTGGTGAAGGAGAAGCTCTTCCCGAAGCTCCCTGGGACCTCTGTTGACCTAGTGCTGCAGAAGCACAAGGTGGAGCTGCGTCCCACCACGCTCTCAGAGGAGAGGCACTTGAGGGACCTGGAGCTGAAGAGCTGCACCTCCCGCATGCTGAAGCTCCTGGCGCTCAAGCAGCTTCCTGAAATCTACCCAGACCTGCTCAACCTCCACTGGCACAACGCCATCCAGCAGCAGCTCGGTAGGTAGCCTGGCATCTCCTGTGGGGGATGCTCAGGGATGCTCCAGCCGCACCTGCCTTTCAGATACTGCTGTTTTTTGGGAGCATCCATCACTCACCTGGTGCCTCAGCATCCCTGTCCTACCATATATTCTGCCCACCTTTTCCCTGTAGGTTGTGGAGGGAAAAAGCTTGAGCTGGGAGGGAGAAAAGTCATCCTGGGGATATCAGGGAGATGTCAGTCACCTCCAGGCCACCTCTTCCCAGCCAAAGGCAGTGTGCCAGACCTGCCAGCTATGGTTGTCCCATCAAACTGGTGGCCTCTCTGCTCTATCCAGGTACCCTTTTTGCTGCTGCTCAAGGCCATTACCAACAACTTTATTTCTTGCAGGTTTGAGGTCGCAGGCTAGCCAGCATCCTTCCAAGTAGGTAACTCCTCTTCCATGCGGCTTTATAGGGATTTATGGGATTTGTATGTAGTTTTGTGGAGGTGGAGGTATACTCTTGTGGATTTGAGCTGGCTGGGGAGGCTCCACTCCCTGGGTCAGGCTGGAGCGGGGATTATTTGGGACGTAGAGGTGAAGATCCTCCTAACCACTCCTTCCTCTCCCAGGTAGCCCCAGCTCAGACGATGAAAGCTGATGGCAAAACAACAGCCACGGATAGATCAGAGAAAGAGGAGGCACTAAGGAGTGTCCCAAGGGCAACGTGAGAATGGGAACAGGAAGGTCCCTCATCACCAGAGCCATGGATGTTGAGATCACCAGCAGCCCTGTAGGGAAGTGCTCGGTTCCCACCAGCATCAGGGGACTCTCCAAGGACAACGCTCAGAGTGGAGAACAGCTTGGTGGCGCAGGACCACAGGCAGGGATGCTGGTGTGGTGTCTGTACCCACGGGGCTGGGCTCAAGCCCCTCGTGGCAGCTGGGGCTAATTTTTGTTTGAATGCATCATTTTTTAGTGCATCTCCCACCTCCATCCATGACTGACTTGGTGAGCTGGGAGGAATTGGCTGGAGTTCCAGTGGATCTGGAGCAAGAGGAGCATGGAGACAGTTACAGCACCATCTCCAGCCTTGGAAAAAGGCTGGCTACTGTGAGGATGACATCCCACCTCCCTCCTCTCTCCTCTAAATCCCCTCTCCTGCTTTATCCGTGCCATTCCCAAGAAACGTACCTTCCTTCTGGTTTTTCATCTTTAAAGCGCTACAGAAACCTTACACAACATCAGCACAAGGGAATCGTGACTTCTGTAGTCCCAGGACTAATTTTTCTTGTTTTAAATGAAGACATTTTACAAATGTTCTGGATTTACCTTTATAAGGAGCTGCTGCCTTCAGGTCATGTGTTTTGGGTGGGTTTTTTTTTCTTTAAATACAGTAATTTATACTTTTTATTTCAACTAGAAGGCTACAAGAAAGATTTAAAGACTCCTAAAGAAAACCAAACCACTTCGTCCGAGATCCTCTTTCGGGGAGATGCACATTTAGCGATCACCTCAGTGGAGATCACAGGAGCAGAGAGGGGAGCCACGCTGCCAGGCCTTGGAAGCAGGGATCCTTTCCATCCCAGAGGGTTGATGGGCATCCAAGAACGTGCAAACATCCCCTGGTCCTGGGGGACTGCAGCAGGGTGCACAGCAGAGGCCTTACCAACTCATCACTCAGGTGTTTTTCCCGCTGCTGCAGGGCATGGAGGAACAAAACAAGGATTATTACGATTTTTTTATTTCACTACAGCGAGTGTTTACTTTAAGAAGAGAGAGGAAGGAAAAAAAAAGAGAAAAAAACCCTACCCAAACTGTACTTTAGCCAAAAGTTGTGTTTGCTGTTGGGGGATTTCTGTGTGTGCCTTGGTGGTTTTCCATCAGGATGGACTTGCTGTGGATGGGACAGGGAAGGGGGATGATGTTGCTGTTCTCCTCAAGTCTCCCTTGCCATGCCGTGGCTGTGCACAGAGATTGGGAAAGCAGCATTTGTTAATAACGTTGTTTTTATACGTTTCTATTCCAGGGAAGAAGGTTCCTTCCCTTTATTTAATTTTTTTTTGTAAGAATATCAATTTTAAGAGGTGCTTCACCTGGTTAAAAGAGTTTGGCTCATTTCCAGACATGCTGTGATTCCGTCTCTGCTTTCCATTGTGGGCACAACAGGACCTTTCTGGGGATGGAGGGTCCCCAAATCCCCACCTCATTGCACTTGTCTGCTTCTCCCTGCATCAAGCCATGAGTGATGTGCCCAGTCCCTCTGTGCCATCATCAGGGGGCTGGATTCAGTGTCCAGTGTGCCATCACAGATCACCCAGGGGAGTGGGACATCCTGAACCAGGGTGACAGCCTGGGACGAGGATGCTGATGGGAGTGTCTGAGCACCAGAAACCGGGCAGGAAAGCTTGGGGTGCTCAGGGGTGCACCCCGGGCTGATCCAGTGGGGACCCCCGAGACACCTTACCCCTTGTGAGGCTCTATCAGGCATAGAATGTACCTGATACCAAAAGTCAGGTACCCCAAACCATGTTTTTCAGCCCAAATTACTGGAGCTCAGCAGGGGAACAGCACTGCCACAACCCACTCACCCAAAACAGGGGGTTTTGGGGAGCATCATCAGGGTTTCAGGATCATCCTGCCTAAAGGAGCAGGCATATACCCTCCTTCCTCTGCCAAGGACTTAATGAGGAGCAGAAAGAAGCTGAGACCCCTCCAGCTTCATCTAGGGGAGTGCAAATGAGTTTGTGTGTTAATTGGGAGCCTGGAATGGAGGCACATCCCCCTGGGAAATCAGATAAAAGCCAGGGCTTGGGTGCTGTCAGGTGTGGGTGAATGTTGGTGAGCCTGGTTGTCCTTGGGGAGGCTGTTTGGGGCAGGGAATGAGGTAATGTCTGAGCCCGGTGCTGGTTACAACCGTGCTCTGCCCTGGGAGCCTCCTGGGAGGTGCCAAGGCTTGGCACAGGCTTTCCTGAGCTAGGAAGCTGTTGGAGAGAAGGAAGATGTTTAAGTAAGGTGGCCTGGCTCTGATGTGTGGGTTGCTCTGGGAATGGACCAGTCACTGGGATGGGTTGTGGTGGGGAACTGGACCTCTCCACAGCTGACCTCTCCACATGGCCGCTCCCAAGGTGAGCCAAGGGGTTGGACCACCAAACCCTCTGGGCATTGCTGCCCTGCAGCCAAAAATGATGCTCTGTGGTGAGAGGGAAGGGGCTGGTGCCTGCCTGGCTGCCAGTGTCAGCAGGCTGTGGTGCAGAGTCTTCCTGGTGTTGGCCATGTGTGTGTGTCTGCCACTGCTCTCCCCTGCAGCCTGGGGACTCTGGCTGCTGTGACCTGGGCTCTCCTGGGCTCATCAGCCTCCCAGCAAGGGACAGGTGACAATCAGGTGACAGCACGTAGTGACCTCCTCACCTTGGGCTGCTTTCTAGGGGTCCAAGGAGACATGACCTGTGGGACAGATGTTGAGGGATGGAGCCTGGGGACACCAGCTGTGGCCCCACTGACATCTTGGACCTCACCACAGTGGGAGCCTGGATCTAGGGACAGGGAAGGGCTCAGGTTGGGCACTGCAGCAGCTGTGACACTGTCCCCCACTCCCCCACACAGTGGCTTGGCACAGAGGTGCCTGCTACTTTGACCTGGCTCTTCCAGGCTGATGGTGACTCCAGCCCTGTCTCGGGAAGCCTACACAGAGCAGGACCAGGCTCACATGATACCAAATAGATGCCAGCAGTGACCTCAGCTCCTGGCCTGGGACAGCCAGTGGGCACAGCAGAGCCCCAGAGCCCATAGAATGTGTCTGAGGGCACCCCTAGAGATCAGAGTAAGCCAGCTATCGGGGTCCCTGCCACCTCCCAGGTATGGCTGCAGCCTTCTTCCCTCCCCATGGCTGCCTGTGGCCCCTCTGCAGGGGCTGTGGTGACAGAGGTGGGTGACCACCCCAAGGGGCTGCTGGGGTGGCTCAGGTCTCATCTGATGTTCCAGCATGGGCACTGATGGATGATCCTTTCTGGAGCTGCAGCACGGGGTAGCAGGTGGTGCCCTTGGCTCTGCCAACGGAAGGGATGTCCAGCTCAGCCAAGCTGCACCCTGGCACTGCGTGGGTGCCCTCTGCTGTGACACCTGAGGGGTTCTGGGGCACTGCTGGCACCTTACTGCATGGCAAAGCTGCTCTGGTGGTGGACACTGCCTTGGCCAAGGTCCCAGGAAATGGGTCTGAACTCCTGGATGCTGTCTTGGCATCACTTCCCAGCCCTGCACTGGCTCCTGGTGTCAAAAACCTGCAAGTGCTGGCTCCCCTCTGACGGTGGATTTCGGAGGTCCTGCTGTCACCTCAAGGAAGCAGAGTGACCTGCCTTCCCTGCCTGCACAGCTGATGTCCATTGAAGCCCACCCTTCCCCAGCTTGGCCCAGGGTTCCCAGTGCTGCATCCCAGTGCACCATGACTGGGGTGAGCTCCACAGCCCCTGGTGCTATCTCAGAGTCCGGGCAGGTGGCTGTGACAAAAGAATCCAGGCACAGCAAGTCAAGGACAGCATCAGTGGGACCCACTCCAGCAGGACCTCCAGAGCACACCCATGCCAGCCCAAGCTCTGTGCTTCCCCCCAGTTCCACAGACCCTGCTCTGGAGCTTCCCTCCAAGGCTGGGCACCATGCAGGCACCACCAGTGTGCCTTCTCCATCCTACCTGCTGATTTCTTTTGGAGCTGGACGTGTAGCCAGCTCCCAGCTCAGTTCCCAGACCCTGGCTCAGCACACAGGAGTGACCCTTGATGCCCTGTCCATGTCCAGTGGCTCCATCACCTCCCATCACCCCTCCATAGCCCCAGAGCATGTCCCTGCAGCTGCCAGGGAGGCCTTCAGTCAAGCTGGTGATGATGGGCAGAGCTGCCTCCACAGGGATGAAAATCCCTGCGTCCTACCCCTTCAGGCTCCCATCTCCCACACAGCCCATGCATGTGCTGCCGTTGCAATTCCAGTTGCTGGGCATCAGTCCCACCCCAGCTCTGGGGAGCAGGAATTCGGAGAGCTACAGGGAGCTGGAGGGAGATGCGAGACTGGTGGTGAGCGCTGGAGCTGGTTGGGAGAGATATTGGCATTTTGGGGTGCAGGGAAGCTGCTGCAGGGTGAGAAGCCTGTGGGCTGCATCAGCCCTTGCTAGGTCTGTTGCCCCTGAGCATGGTGCAGATGGGTAAATCCCTGGCACTGCTCCACCAGAGCTTAGTTTGAGGTGGGACTTGGCTCCCCTCACCTCCAGCAGCCAGCAGGGCCATGGCATGCTGTGTTGGTGCTGGGATATTTCCTCCCAGGTGCTATTCCTATGTGGATGGGCGCTCTAGGTATCCCATCTTATCCACGGGCATCCCCAGAGGGCTGGCACTCCCTGGAGTACCAGCATGGCCTCCCCTGGGCAAACTGAGCTGATTTCCCCCTATTTATTGCCCACCTCCTGGTATGTTTCCCCTTCACATGGGGAAGCTTGGAAAAGCTGCTCAATTGCCAGGTGCTGTTTTCTTCCAGCTAAACCAGATGCTGTCCAGCAAAAGACCTTCTTGCAGGCAAACATCGTTGAGTTCGTGTGAGTGTGCAGCTGATAGGAAGGGGCAGGTTTGGCTTGGAGGGAAGGGTTTGCCCCAGAAAATGCTCCAGATGGGTCTTGTGAGGGGCTACGCTCCCTCCCTGTGATCATCATCCCCAGGGATGCCTGTGTGAAAGCATATGAATCTCTGGATGAAGCCACATAAGACCTCTCTTGAGGCCATCCATCATCCATTTCAATCCATAACTCCAGTGGGGCCATCATCGCCAGGAAAGCAGCCACAGGGCTCCGGTGCTCGGTGCTGGGCCATCCCAAAATGTGGGGAATCACCACCATGACCTCCTCAGTCCCCAACTTTCTCCATAGCCATGGGTCACCCGGCTGTTTTTACAGTTCAAACCTTTCTCTCTTGTATCCCTTACCCCAAAGCCTGCAGGAAAGAATGCTTTTAAGTCTATAACAACACTCTGTTATCTTCCGTGAGAGAATTACATTTCTCTCAACAGACAGAAAACAACCCAAAGGAAACAGAGTGTGAAAATTCCCACGCTGAAACAACATTCTTAGCATCTGCAGCTGCAAACTTATCTTGAGCGAAAACAACTAGAGAAAAACACCTCCTCGTCAGATCTTCCTCTTTCAAGCCCTTCCTCCTCACAGCAAGGTAAGGGAGGGATAGACAAAGCAAAGCAAGATCAGGGAAGGCAAGCAAGGGTGAGGGAGTGGTAGGGAAGGGAAGGCCAGGAAGCAGCAGGATGGGTAAACAAGGCAGGAGAGAAGCTTAAGTCAAGTGGAGAGATGAGTAGGCAAGGCAGGGGGAGGGATGTGTAAGCAAGGCAAGGCAAGGCCAGGCAAGAAAGGGGCAGGCAAGTGAAGGAAGGGGGGTAGGTATGGAAAGCAATGCAAGCAAAGGAGTGGTAGTCAGGGCAAGGTAACATAGGTGAGAAGTAGGCAATGAAAGGCAGGGCAAGAGAGGGATAGGCAAGGTAAGGTGGGGTAAAGGAGGGGTAGGAAATGAAAGGCAGGGGCACGGAGTGGTCAGCAAGGCAAGGCAATGCAAGTCAAAGGAGAGGAAGACAGGGCAAGGCAAAGCCAGGCAAGAAAGGGGCAGGCAACTCAAGAAAGCGAATGGTATGCAAGGCAAGGGAGGGGTAGGCAAGGGAAGGCAAGGACACAGAGGGGTCAGTAAAGCAAGGCAAGGGAGGTGCAGTCCAATGGGTGCAGTTGAAGGTGGAGCCAGTGACAGCTTTCTC